TCTCTTATTTTGTGAAAACGTAAGAAGCAAATTGTTGTTGCTAGATCCTCAGCTGAAGTTGAATATCGTGCTATGACATCTACTATAATTGAGATAGTCTAGTCATGGTGGTTGCAGGCTGATCTTGGCATCCTTTTATCTTTTTCTACCCCTATGTAATGTGACAACACCAGTGCTATTCAGATTGTTCACAATTTGATTTTCCATGATCGTACAAAACACATTATGATTGATTGCCATTTTGTTTGCCATCATCTTTAGTCGAACACCATCTCTCTCCCCTTTCTTCTTTCTACAATGCAGTTAGCAGATTTCTTTACAAAATCTCATACCATAGCACGTTTTTGTTTTTTTCTTATCAAACTCTTGATGTTCTTTGCTACCATATCATGAGTCTGAGCGGGAGTGTTAGAGTATTCTAGCATTTTAGTCTTAAGGGTAGTTTAGTTGTTTATTTTATGTTATGTTGCCCTATAATATAAAGACTTTTATTGTGTATGTTTTGTAATGTTTTATGGGATTGCACGGACTAAGTGTCGTACCATCCAAGGAGATCGAATCCAAATGTAAAACATGGAAAGGAATAAGATAATAAATGAGAGGAGACTGAGAACTGGTACCATCCAAGGAGATCGAATCCAAAGACGATAAAAAAGTTGGTGGTGGGGCAGGAGTAGGTGGTCTTGACTAACAAGTGTAAACATGGAGGGTGTGGGGCCAGATGAGAACTCGTAATCAAGGAAGGTTGAGGAACAAAGGAGGAGGGGAGTGGAGCCAAAAGTGAAGGATGGTCAGACAAAGAGTGAATTTCAATGAAACACTAAAAAAGGGCAATAGGAGCAGAAAAATATGGTGTAGACTCTCCAAAGGTGACATCTGCATCAATGAAATACCGATGAAGAGTAGGACTGTAACAATGGTAACCATTTTGAGTACAGAGTAACAAAATAAAAATGCACTTAGTAGCTCGGGGGTCAAGTTTATCAAAACTGGGACCAAGATTATAGAAACAAAAAACACATCCAAACACTTTAGGAGGAAGAGAAAACAATAGAGAATTAGGGAACAAGACAGAGTGAGGAGACCTCCCATGTAAGACAGTAAAGGACATTCAATTAATGAGATAACATGCATTCAAGACATCATCACCCCAAAACCGACTAGGAACATGCATATCAAATAGGAGGGCTCAAGTTACATCCAATAAATAACAATTCTTGCACTCAACCACACCATTTAGTGGTGGTGTGTGAACACATGAAGTTTGATTTTTAACGCCTTTGCAAGCAAAATAAGCCTGAAAGGGATTGGAAGTGTATTCCTTGCATTATCAAATTGTAAACTATGAATATTGCAACAAAATTGTGTCTTAATTTTCTTGTGAAATAGTTGAAAGATAGAAAATAATTTTAGAATGAGATTTCATTAAAAATAATCAAGTCATACGAAAATGATCATTTATAAATATCACAAAATACCGAAATCCATTAAGAGAAGAATAACTGGGGGACTCTCTACATCAGAGTAAACTAATTCAAAAGAAATAGAGACGATTATCAATCCTAGGCTTAAACGACATTCGATGGTGTTTACTAAGTTGACATGCTTCACAAGAACTTGAGACTTCAAAAGTGGAAAAGATGGATGTCCAAGGCGACAATGACATTGCTAGGTGGACAATGAGGTCTGGAGTGCCATGGGAGGAGGCTCGAAGTCAAAATAATAAAGACCACTGGATTCATGTACTATGCCAATATTCTTCTTTGTCTTGAGATCTTGAAAGACACAAATCGAAGGGTAAAATGTGGTTGAGCAACTAAAAGAATGAGTAATCTTACTAATAGATAAGAAACTGAACAGAAACTAAGGAACTAATAAAATAGAAGACAATGATGGAGAGAGACTAAGTTGTGTAGTACCTAAACCGGAAACCTTTGTGGATGAACTATTAGCAAGAGTAATACTCGGGGATGGAGGTGGAAATTAAATAAGGAACCCGAGGTGTCAGTCATGTTATCAAAAGCTCTAGAATCAATGATCCAGGTGTTGGAAAGAGAAGATAATAAACATGCAGATGTCGTACCTAACTGAGCAACAGTAGTAGCAGAGGAAGATATAGTCTGTTTGTGATACAAGAATTGTGTATATTCATCTCAAGAAATAGCAATAAGATTAGTAGCCTGATGTTGACTACGCCCAGATGAAGGAACATAGGGAGGAACACCTTCCTGGTAAGAGGCCTGGTGAGCCAAGATAGACTGTTTTTCATGCAAGTCCCAACAATAATCCATAGTGTGATTGTTACGACCACAATGAGTGCACTTGCGAGTATCACGACAAACCCTACACCATAATCTCCGTGAGAGCCACCTCGATGACCACAACCACCTCTACCACCATGACCTCCTTAGGAACCACTAAATCCATTATGGAAAGCTGCTAAAATTGAACGGTCACTACCATGGTCAATACTTACATAGGAACTATAATTTGATGCCCCCTAAAGCCGAGAAGGCACATCAGAGGAAAGCTTAGGGCTTCTTAGATTCTGTGCACGGATGAGCTCATACTCTGTTTTCAAGACAAGTAATAATTGAACTACATTAAGGTCTTCACGTTGCTGCTACATACATGAGATGTTAGAGGAGATGGGTTGATAAATCTCTTTAAGAAAAACCTCAACAGACCAAGCCTATATGGCATAATTACTCCCATTGAGCTTAACAGAAGTCATGGGAGCATAAAAAAAAGGAAGCAGAAGAGAAGGTTAGTGGAAGACTTGGAGGATCTGCCTTTTTCAGCCTTAGACACCATTCCCACAAGAAATAATGGTCAAACCAACTAAATAGGGGTCGGACATGACCAAACTGGTACTGAAGCAGTCGGGTTTAAAGCTAGGAAGATCAAAACTGGACAAAGAAAGACCCCTGAAATGGAAATCAAAGTAGTAGAGAGTTGTTGGGGGCTAAATTTGACGAAAGGAAGGGTGCTGGGGGTTGAATTAGTGGTCCAATACCCCACTGTGGTCTAACACAGTCAGTTTGGTTCAGTCCTAATCCAGTCCGGTTCAGAATAGTTCAGGACTCATTCAGCTTGGTTTAGACCAGTTCAGGCCTCATTCAGCTTAGTTTAGACCAGTTCAGGCCTCATCCAGCTTGGTTTAGACTAGTTCATGCCTCATTCCACTTGGTTTAGACGGGTCCATGCCTCTTTCCACTTGGTTCTGATCATCTTCTTTAGCTTGGGCCAAACTATGCTATTGGACTTAACTGAATTGAACCCAAATAATAGCTATAGATGCAATAAACTGCACGGGAATAGGAGTCTCTTGCACCAGAGCCAAACACCACCGGCTGGAAATTGCAATCGGAAAGAATTGAATCACAAATTCATAACCGAAACAACCAACAACAAAAAATTGCAAACAAATTGTAATTAGAGATTCAAAGACTCGATTTGATCCACTGTATAATCAGAACACATGACAGTGATTCCACCGGTGATAAACAATGACAACGGCTAGGGAAACTTAACACCCAGCCATTAAAAACTCTTCAATAGGTCTCAAAAAACTCAACAATCATCCAACAAATAAGTTCTTGTTAACAAAAGAAGAGAAGATAAGAAGAAGAGAAATAGGAAAGAAAGAAGAGAAAGAGATGGGATTCTAGGAAGCCAATTAGCCTTTGATAGTGTTTTTAGTTAGGTATAGTGTCAGTTGAGTAGTTTTTGGCTCAGTTTGGTGATGGTTTAGTGTTTTTCAGCCCCATTCAGTTTTGATTCAGTGTTTCAACCCGATTTAGTGTTAGTTTAGTGATTTTCGGCCCAATTTGATACTAGTTTAGTGGTTTTCATCTTGCGTCAATTCCGATTCAGTGTTTTCAACTCGGTTTAGTGTCAGTTCAATAGTTTTAGGCACAATTGGTATTGGTTTATAGGTTTTCATTCCGGTTCATTTTTGGCTCAGCGTTTTTAGCCTGGTGTAGTGTCAATTTTGGAGTTCTCATACTAGTTCGGTATTGGTCATGTGGTTTTTGCATCTACTCAACTCCTTTTTGGCTAATTCGACTCTAGATCTATTTTGTTTACTCTATTATTTTTAGATTAATGGGATGTAATTTGTCGTTGTCTGTGATTCATTATAGTGTTGTTAGTTGTGTTTGTTTGTTCCAGTTTTGTTGTTAGTGGTGGTAGTGTTGTTGTGTTTATCAATTGTCGTGATTGTGTTCTTTTCCTTCTGTGCTGTCATGATCATCGTTTGCTATTTCTTGTTTTGATGTGGTCATTAATTGTTTCTCTAACCGAAGGGATGTTGTAAACTTCACATGGAACAACCAACTGGATTTATTAATGAGAATTGTGATAGTGTGTGTCGATTAAAGAAGTTCCTGAATAGTTTGAAGTTCACCAAGAGGTTAGTTTTATCATACTTATGTCTACATAGAGATATTGCGGTCAATTCAAGTGATTTTCTCACCAAACCATTGGTGCAGTCCACCTTTAGGAGCCATTCCAAGTTGGACATTTTTGATCTCCATGCTCTAGCTTGAGGGGGAGTGTTATTTTCCTATTGTTCAACTTTTCCTTTATGTTACTTTTGTATTACGTTACATTCCGGTTATGTGGTTTTCCTATTATGTTCTACTTTCCAAAATTGTAAGTGTCTTCAATATCAATCTAATATAAAGAGATGATTGGGTGTTGACGACACATACCTTTCATATGATATTATTTCGTACTCTCTTTCTTCTTCTCCTTCTCTTTCTTTTCCTTAATGTTGACGTATAGTTATTCAACTTCCAACTGTGTAAAAGATTATGGTTGGGTGGTTTTGAGCAAAGGGTGACTAATTTTTATACAAGGATAGTGAATGGGATTGTTGATTTCTCTCCTCTCTCTCTCTCTCTCCTTCCATGATCCTCTTCTAATCCACATTGCTTTTATGCTCTCTCATTTCTCCTTACCACTGCGTACACTCTCTCTGCACACAAGAAGTGATAATGGGGCATTGCTCATCTATCACTTCTAGTACTAGACGCACAGGATTTGGGTGCTTATAATTGAGGTCATAAGAAGCATTGCATGACATCTGGCAATAGTATCCTATGATTGAGAAACTATTCAAGAACATCACTGAGCAAAACTGTCACGAACAAGTTCATTTACAAAAATAGTGTTGACATAAGCCAGGGGGATCAAGCATGGAATGCATTTTCTCAGGTTGCTAATGGCTAAATGTAGAGTGTGGAAACCTCGACATAGTTATCATCTATATCTGAAGGCATATAAAACAGTTCACAAAGACTAGGTTGGTTTCAGGAACAAAAGTGGGTCAAATACCTAAGGCACATGTAGGGTCATTTGAGTATCAGAGACTTGGGAATTTACAATTGCTGTAGAAAGAAATTAGGAGGCCAGTAAAACTTCTCTCTCTTCTTGCTTTGCATAAGTGTAGTGACTGGTACACAAATGAAGTTCCATGCACTTTAGCGACATTATGTGGGGCATTTAATATTTTCTGATGCGTCCCTATTTCGTCCCAAAATAACTCACTGTTATAGTTTGTTCTGGCATGATATTTACTAATCTTTTCATACAATCCTCGATGCTTGCTTCCTTTTTGGGTCATCTATCAAATTCATGTCAGAAGCCTCAGTGTAGTAAATACTTTGTAGCATCTGCAAGTTTGTTGTTTTAAAAATTCCTAGGCAGATAACCATCTGCATGTCAAAGAAAAGCCAATTTTTAAACACTTCCACTGGTTTGTTACATAGACTGTGAAATACCTTCCCTTAGAGTAAATGATCGGGATATGAAGTATTGTAGTGCTGCGACCTTCATTGTAGTGGAAAAGGAAAAGTAAAAAACTCGAAGTTATTGACTTTTAGGGAGGTATTGTTATCACAAGTGTAGTGTTATTATTTGCTTCTACCCTTATCTATTTTGTTAATACCTGATTCATCATTTCAATTGTGTAACAGGTTCCTTCATGACAAGGTGAAGCCACAAGTTGTGCATCGGGATATCCGTGCAAGTAACGTACTACTTGATGAAGAGTTTGGTGCACATTTAATTGGGGTTGGTCTGTCAAAGTTTGTTCCTTGGGAAGTCATGCACGAGAGAACAGTGATGGCTGGCGGCACTCATGGATACCTTGCTCCGGAGTTCGTGTACAGAAATGAGCTAACAACAAAGAGTGATGTTTACAGCTTTGGGGTTCTATTGCTTGAAATTGTTAGTGGGCGTAGACCAGCACAAGCTGTTGACTCAGTGGGTTGGCAAAGTATATTCGAATGGGCCACTCCCCTAGTGCAGTCTCACCGTTATTTGGAGCTCTTGGATCCACTCATATCTTCTTCCTCCTCCCAAATTCCGGAAGCTGGAGTCATTCAAAAGGTAGTGGACCTAGTGTACTCTTGCACACAGCATGTCCCATCTATGCGTCCACGAATGTCACATGTTGTTCATCAGCTTCAACAGTTGGCCCAACCTCCCATTGTAAAGTAAGGGTTTGACGGGTAATATTTGTTACCCTTTTTTCCCGACGTAACTTAATGTTGTTGCAATATCACCAGCAGCAAAATCTCTTGTACTATCATATTAACAGTGCTGATGCAGTTTAGCTGAGTACTTATCAGTAGAATGGAATGCTATTATTCTTGCAGACATTTGTAAGGTTAGTTTTGAAATTTATATTCCTCATTTAAGACTAACATCTGTGTATAGAAAATGCCAATCTCGATGATAAAGTTGACACTGGCATGCATAGCTAAAATTTTCGGCCATTAAGATTCTCGGATGATATCCAGCTAACTAGCTTGTTCCCGCCTGAGTGATGGGCGAACCTATTCACATATGAATTTACTTTTTTTTTGTTAAACAGAACATTAACTTAAAAAAGTAGAGGTTTGTGTTAGATAGTGGACAGACCATTTCTCGATTTGTGCATGTCATTCTTGCGTAAGGGTCTTGCAAATCTTCTCTATGTTGGTTCAATTTTATTGGATGTACCCGAAGGGACAGGTAGTTGACGGACATTTGAGGCTTTAGCAGAATAATAACCTGAATAAATTTTTACATGAGGTGTCTTTGGACCTTTGAGTCTCACTGTATTCATAGGGAAAACCCTGTGAAAAGTAAAACTACAATTAGATAGCCTTTGTGAGAGGCTGATCCTGTTGATCAATCATCCATATGGATTAGGATCATTTTTGGAAAATCAATTGTGGTGATAGGAAGCGTTCAACTTGCATTGATACTAAACCCAACTAAGTAATCGTCACAACTATTTAGGGTCGGTTATTGCGCCCCTGTCACATATGATCCACAATTTGTTTGATTATACTCATTGAAGTACTTTCTAACAAGAAGGAAAAGAGTGTATAGAGAAATTGAAGAAAGTTCATGAGTTGCGGATGAACTTAGAAGCTAAGAAAAAGGATAAGGGACACCTGAACAAAGAGATTCAAGAATGGGTGGATCAGGTCAAAGAGTATTTCGCTCCAAAAGGATAAAATCCAACTGGGTTCTAAGGTTTTTTCACTTCACCCTTCATTTACCTAAACAGTCCAGGAGACAGTATCTTCTCGTGGCTGCTGCAACCATTGAACCCAGTTGTGTAGATAATGGAGCAACAAACTTGATAAACATGGAATTCTAGCAAAATATGGTTAGTCTCGGTGAATAGTGAAGGAGACATTAGCGGGAATCTGTTCGGGGAATAATAGTAAGTTTAGACCAAATTGATGCTGAATCGTCACGATAATTTTAAAAATGATACTTAAAATCAATGAGTTGTGTTGGTATCAAATACAAATAACTCATTCGCCTAATAATTTGCTGATCTAATTCATTGTGATCTTTGGATTCACTGTAGACTTCATCAAACATTAGAACTTGATGTTGGTCCAATGATTCCTATAAAACTAAATCATTATGTCAATAAATAAATTCAGATTTTTTAGTCCAAATATTATTACTTTTTTTCTTGATCTAGCATAATGTGAATTAGAGTTAAATAGTTTGATATTGACAGGACACGAATCAATCAAGTTTAATGCATATAGAGATGTAAGTGCTGAAATTTGATTGAAATAAAAGGAGTTTATGAATCATGTGGAGATCCAAAATGATATGTCTCAAATATAAAAAAGATCTATCATAACACAAAACGACACGTGTGCCTGTTCATCCATGCATCCTAATTGTTTAAGAAATCAATTTCTATCCAATTTGAAAAGAACAACGGCCGGACCCCCAGACTATGCAAAAGATACGAGGCCGGGGGTCTCGTCCATAGTGATTTCCCCTCCCTTTGATGATTCATCGAACCAATAGGCCTAGATTTATGCCCCTAGATAAATTGAATGTTCCTTTCACATTCTTTTGATTTTGACGGCCGACATAGATTTAATAAGACCTGCCCATTATTACTGTGAAAAAAATCCTACCCTTTTCCTTCGTTACCAAGAAAGTAACTTTTATTAATATTAAACTATCTTACAACGTTTTGAATGTAGTTTACATACTGCTTTAATGACGAATAATCCAATCCTTAAAACATACTACAGTCCCAGGTGGTGAAGAGATACATTGAAATGTCAAACCTTCCCGTCGACATACAATTAATATTTTTTTTTGTTACTAGACTATTAACCAATTCCTTAAAATAAAAAAAAAAAATTTAAAACTCCAACAAAAACTCTCTACAACTATGAAAAGAGATTTCTAAATCTCGAATTTACTTAAATTGTAAGAATATAATAATCTTCTTCCTGAATTATTACAAACCAACTTGTCAAATTCACATTTTAACTGAGGCTAAAGTCCAGGGAGCATCATACCAAGTTGGCACTGCATGGCCCATCCCCGCAACCTAACCGAGTAGAAACATAACTTCTTACTCGACTGTTTCATCATCAGATCAGATTTTGAACATCAATGATCCAAAACTAACAATCAGTCACCAGCTAATCCGAGGCGAGCAGAAAGCGGTATGTGACACTTTGCCGGAATTTGGAAAAAAAAACAAGAAATTTCAACAGGTGAATCAAACCTCGCCATCCATTCAGATGTCATAGTTCATCTTGTGCATCACATAAAACCTAAGCACTGTTCTTATCATTCCACCTCTACTTTCATAGCACAAGTAGTACCTTCGACACAGTGAGACCTAAGTTGGTGTTCATACAAACAAACAATACTAAATAGAACTTCAAAAGTACTTCAGAGCAAGATTGATGCCCTCTGCAGGTATGAAGTTGAACTTAAAAGAATCTGTCAAAGCAATACGGCATGTCTCATTCTGAGAACCAAAACCTAAATAACCTTTCCAAAACAAAGGTCACAAACACTTTCCTTAGTACTATAAATAAATTAAAAGAAGTCATCACTGATAGTGATGATTATTGGCACTGTATGGAAAAATGACAAAAAAAGATGCAACCAATATCACCTAGGTTAACTCTATGTTACCTGAAAATGGCTACTTTACCATGTATGTATGCTTAGGCAAACCTTTAATCAGCAATGAGATTGAGCCTCTAAACGGAAATAAAGTAGGGATGCTTTTCAAGTTATTTGCACTCCAAAAAGCCATAGACCTTTCTTCTCTGCTTTGGTTATTTCAGCTCCCACCAATTTTTTCTCTCCCTCAGATTCCTTCTCATCCTCATTGTCATTGCTATTTTGTCCATGATCGAGTTGCTGCAATTCATCTCCTTGAAAATCAACCTCATCGTCAACATAAACAATATCTTTTTGTAAACCAAGATGCAATGCTTCAGAATCATTGTTAATGTCCTTAACCACACCACTGTTGCTTTCCACACCAACATACGAACATACATCAATCATAAAGAATGACTGGGCCTCATTTGATCCATCCTTGCACTCACACACACAGAATATAACCGTGTCCTTCGCCTTCAATTCGTTTGCCTTCACAAACCTCTTCCACCCCTTGGTGAAGACAAGACTTTGGCTACTCTTCCAGTAGCAGTAGTGAAATTTCCATGACCTCATTGACCTATCATAAAAAACTAGCTGCATATCATCAACCCCTCCACCAGCCTCATTCTTTTCAGCACCATCAGATATGTTAGGGAAGTACTTCAAGGCATATCTCTTTGGAATGACAAGTCGATTAAGTTTGCCCACATCACTAGGTGAAAGCTCCTTCTGGAAAAGAAGTCTGCAAAAAAAAGTTCCACCACCATGCACTGGTATAAGGTTGTGGCCATGTATTATTCCCCTTTGGTAATGCATCCCAAGATAATCCGCAAACCTGGATGCGTAGGAACCATCTTTTGTCGTGTTTAGGACAGGTTCTGTACTGAACTCATTTTGGAACTTTGGCTCTTGGGCAGTGATGTTTGTACAGGGAAAGTTTTTGTGCGAGTCCCCATTCTGAAGTTTGGTGGCTGCACTATCATATGCCATTGCAGCTTCTTTCTCAGACTCAAACATCCCAAGCCAAATCTGCTGGTGGATAGCATACATCTGTGCACCCCAGTGCCCATTCAGTTGACTCACAACTCCTTCAAATTTTGAAGCAGCGATATTGCTATCATGCCTTGAACACTTGTTGTGGAATGGGTGGTTACAATTGTTGGAATCTGAGGCTTGCCCACAGACATTTGTTGAGGAGCTCGAAATCATACTCATTTCTTCTCCCATAGTAAATCTGAGGAAAAATTAGTTATGTCAGGAAACAAAGCAGAAAACATGAAATAATTAACCGAGAAAATAAAACAAAATTCCTGATAGATATACTTTACAGACAATTTGATGGGGGAAATTACTGCAAACCAAGGATTAAAATTTCGTTTTGGTCCATTGTTTTGGTCAATTAGAAAACAGAAACATTTCAACATATTTCGAAAATGTTTCGACCCGTTTAAAAAATAAAATAAAAAATTTAAGAATTATTTTTTTTAGACATTGATCGAAATATACCAAAATATCATGAAATTCCTTAAAACATTCCGAAATAATTGTGCAAATGCATTAAAATATAATAAAACATTTCGAAATATTATAAAACACCTCGAACTATTAGAATTTCGATTTCATCATTGATTCGTTTTGGTCTTCTTGAAAACGGAAACGTTTCGAATGTTTTAACTATTTCGAAACGATATTTTGATCCTTACTGCAAACCACAAAATTTGCAAGACAAAGATATAACAAAAATGATCCGATTGGATTTTCATAAGTTCTTATCCTAGCCTAAATGTTGTGTTTGCAATGGCAAGTAGAAATGCTGCTTAAATTCTAGCCAACGCATGCACTGGCCTAGGTGATAAACCAACAAAATATAATAATAGACTGAAGTTAAGTTTGTAATACAGATATCCAGCCCCAAGAAAATCACTTTTTATTTTGAAGAATATACAAATATACCATGTACATTCTTGACCCCTTAGCTGATGTTGCTTTCAGGGTAATCAGAGTAAATTACCATCCATCAATTCTTTACAAGGGTGGTAGTTTTCTTCCAATTTTATTTTCTTTCTTTTTTTTTGTCTTGGGGAGTGGGGGTGGGGTTGAGGGGAATGATTTAAGATGCATGAAATAGACATGACAATCCCACCAAACACTATATAGCTTCAGTAACAAAAGATTAGTGTGTGCTATGTTCACTGCTGGAGGGGTAGCAGAGCTAAAAGACACACAATTTGTAAATATGAGGCCAGAGGAGAAACTGTTGCACTAGGTCCCAGAAGGGTGTCGTGGCAGTGTTGGACATGGACACGTCGGACAGCTAGAAGTGTCTTAAACAATCAACTCAGTCGGACACAACGAAGATACTGCCAAGATACGTCTAGGATACAGCTAGGATACAATCAAGAATTTTTTTTAAAAATAAAACTGATAACTATTAAAAGGGAGTGAGATTTCTATTTTTTTTTAAAATATATATACTTTTTTGTAACTTATATACAATGAATGCTAATGGATGTAATGATGTTTGATGAAAAAGATGGATATTTATTTTGATCTATTTCAATTTTAATCAAAGAATTAATATTTGATAGATCTTATTATTAATATTGTTATAATATATGCTTTATTTTTAATATATTAAATAATATTATTTTAATAGTCGTATCCTTACCGTACCCATGTCCTATATTTTTAAACTTTACCGTATCCCCCTATCTGTATCCATGCTTTCTAGCTATTGCAAAATTTCCATTGCTTGAAAAGATACAACAATAAGGATAAACCAGGCTTGCCATGAAAAAAGTTAATGCAATTGACCAACAATATTGGCACCCTACAAATACTCACAAGGTACCCAACCCTTCTGTTAATAGACCATCTGATACTTTGCTTAGGGGTGTGCTCTTAACTTCCAGTGGAACTTAAATAATAGAAAACCATAGCCAACTGCTAGGGAAAAGTTGATCAGGAAGATTTACCTCAGCTTCTGAAAACCATTTCAAGGAATTGTTCACTCACATTTAGAAAAAAGTAAACACCGGATTAATTTGAAAATAGGACTGAAAAACCTGGCCGATTAATTTTTCATATTTGGGCTTCAAAGAATAGGATAGGTTTCAATCAATAGAATAAGGAGAACTTTACAAATGGATACGAAGGGTAAATATCTTGGCTTGGATAATAAAATCATAACATTAGCATTACTATTCATCCCAGAGACACTAACATTCATGGAAGCCACCAACCCTTAATGAGAACTTCGTGCCAAAATCGAAGGTTTATACCCAAGGTTTAGTAGTAAATATAGACGGATGGCTAACCGCAACTTATGAACATATATAAGTCAACAAGACTATATGTGTGTGTATACATATGCAGCATTCTTTACTTGATTGCTAGTCTTTCCTCATTTCATTGACTAATCAGTTTCACAAAATTTTTGTTTAACATATGCCTGATGACAGGAGAAAAGGCATCCTAGTATTGATGTAGTAACAGAGGTTCTTTCTCAAAAGCCATGCCACCAATTTTCATATTAATTCTATGTGGAGAAGAAACTTTGAGAAACTGATCAAGCAAATATAAAGATATAAAACAACTGCATCGAGAAACCAAATCTGTTCAATGCCAGGAAGATCAACCACGAATTTTGTTTTTCCACTCACCCACTTGCTTAAAAATCCACCTAAAAAAACAAAATACACCCATATGCTATTCATATTCTTACCAAAATATTCACCATGCATGGGTGTAAAAAAGTAAAATTATATTTAATGACATAATTAACATCATGCATAATGGAGCAGTGATAAATGTAGAAGAATGGGATAGAAATTAGTGATACCTAAAAACATAAAAATTTCTTAAAAGACTCAGCATTGTGTCTTTAACATTTGTTCAAGATGGATTAATTCTACACATCGAAGAAGATATCTCCTGGTGTAAGGTTTCTTCTACTAACAACATTGAGGAGTATATGAAACTACTAAATTGGTTACTTTTCCTTCAGAAAATGTGGACATACTATGGTTAAACTAACTATAATAAAACTAATATACCACATTCAACTGCACCTTATAGGGGGCTTTGGTGATACTTGATGTAGAGAGGATTATATCAGCTGTTCTGGATTTATTATAGGAAGGATACAACATATGATATTAACATGGAGGGATCAGCGTCGAAGTGCTTCAAGAGTGTTGCTTGCCAATGCATTTGAAGATATCTATAGTCAACCGCACCTTATATTACTAGCAATTGAGCAGTTACAAGCGGCATACTTAAAACAAATAACAGATTGACTGTTGATATAAATGATGTGACAAAAACGGACATAAAAAAGGAAAGAAGAGAAAGAGAACTAATTACAACAAAGCAAAATTCCTTTACAGTAGTCTGGCACCTCTAATATCTGTTCATAAATGAAATAATGCAGAAAAAGAATTTGACATAGCTTCAAAGTGCCAAAAGGATGAGTAATGGAAAGATGAAACGCACCAAGGCAGGGCAGGTACACATTCAAGCCTTAAATATGACAGAGCACAAGGCTTTATATTGGAGAAGTGTGAATGAATTAACGAAGTTGACCTCAATAGTCGGGATTCAAATGTGTTGAGCTGAAGTCCACAACAATGACAAGAAAAGGAAGTTAACAACTTCATTTGGAAAAATTCAAGTCTCATTTAATTATAACTATAAGTGTCAAAAACAGAGCCTCTCTAAGGAATTCCACCTTTCATGCACCTTATACAATACTTCCGTTTTCAGGCCAACATTTGGCAACACTATTGTGTTAAAACAAAGAAATAGAAATTTTGCCTAGAAAACATAGAAGTGTTGATATGCAGAGGGGAATGAGAAAGTGCACAAAGAATGGTACACTTCAAAGTAACTAAGCCATGGCTGCCTCTACAAAGGTACTTCAAAGTAATTAAGCCAAGGCTACCTCACCCACCCTGAAGATTTTTGGCATATGTAGATTTGGTAATAATAGATTGTTAATATGAGTACCCCATTCATACATAGATCATGCCACTTTTGGACACCTACAGTGGTTTCTCTGTTACTCACCAAACAACAAAGATGGGATGTTAACAAGACAACACCAACTCAGCACAGATGAAAAGTATGGCAGGAGGAATATATCATATGAAATGCACAAATATTAATCAGAATGCAAGTGCCTTAAATGTTAAATTGTGAGGAATCAATTTGTCTGAAAGACAAACTTTGTGTTCCCTCTAGTTCCATATTCAGCAATTCAATGTACAGTGATTAACCATCATCAGACTGTACTGGCAAAAGTTAAGGCAGCAGAGAGAAGTCAAGGAACTAAAAAAGAAGAAAAGCATGTGCCCCCTTACAGCCTTTAAAGCTGAGTCATCGTGATGGAGCAAAAGAAGATGAGAACTGAAACTAGTCAGCTGACAAGAAAGACTCATATGATCTCGACATCTACTCCTCAGAAAACGATCCAGTTTGAATTTCGCCTAAATAATGCAAGAATTTTGAATTAGTCACTGTGGTTTAAATGGATATACTTCATTCAGCTTTGAAGAATCAAAAGTTAATTGCAGTTTGTTAACTATTTTTATCAATTCTTCTGTCAACATTATATTTATTGAAATAGGTATAATTAGCTAGAAAGGTCCACCCAGTGGTATATGCTTTTCGAAAATATTAATGTTGTGCTTTCCGCATATATTGATGTTTTCATTTTCAATTTAACCAGAACTTTAAAACTTTGTGACTCAAAATTTTAAAAAATTCCATAAAACTCACCTGAACGGTGAAAAACAAAAGACATCCTGATGGCAGTTATAAACATATAGAAGCTCATAAGTAAAAATGATCCAAAACAAGAAGGTAAATATTTTTGTCAAGCATTTGGAACCATCAATCAATCACTCATCCTATAACATTTACCTTTTAGAGACAAACTCTGTACTCCTTTTCATGGACATCATATAATTATAACCAAATGCAAAACATCATATAATTATAAGGGTTGAAACCCCAAATGAAAAAACAACTTGTAATTTATTTTATCTAAGAAATAAAGACCTTCATCACCTTGGAAAGTAAAAAATGTAAGGAAGTAAAGCTTTACATCAGCCATCTCCAGTAGTACACTACTAGAACCACCAAAAGTTTAGGTCAAAGCCATTCAGATTTAATAAAACCAGCCTCACCCATAAGGAGTAAATGAAGAACACAAAGTTTGCCGTTAAAGCTTTCCAAAAAATCCCTTAGACAACAAAGTTCAAAAATCAAATAAATGCAAAATTACTGTCACCTTCACTCCACTTTCCTCTCCTTGGTCGATCAATAAATTAGAGAACACACAACTTGGGCATAAAATTGTCTCATGTACAAAAGAATGAGGTTACAGGGCATGGGTTCCATTTTGTAGACACATGTACCACCTAAGAGCCACTTGAATTTGTTACCAGATAGGCAACCTCAAGATTTCTTCTCCAATGACCGATATAGTTACAT